GTGCGTGACAGACGCACACACAGACACACAGACGCACAGACACACGGACACACAGACAACCTCTCGACAATATGCGTTCTTCGCATTGCATTGCTGCAAAAAACGCATAAAAAGTAATAAAAAAGGAAAAAAAAAGTATTTGCTAATACTGAAAACCGCCACATTCTATCTTCAATATAAGTAATCCATAACCGGTATGAGTAATCCGTATCAGCAATTTTATTAGAATTCCCTGCCATCAGATTTAGTTATGTCAAGTTCTTTGATCCTGCACTGCACAACCCCAACTAGTCTTCCTTCCTGTCCGATGTATGTGTTCCACCGACAAAAAATCAAAGAAGTGTAAAAAAATTTCAAGAAAGCTAAAAACAGAGTATTTTCATAAGTGGATTCGTCTATAACGTTTCCCGAATCAATACAATCATGAAATATCACAGTGAAATTCATCTGTTTGCAAAACGAAAAATAAACCTTCATAAGCCACAATGCTCTTGCGATATATCTTCGTGACTTCTGTTCATTGTCCATTTGAGCGCCTACCAAAAGTGCGGTAAATGCCTCCGCACCTACGTTATATGCAGATTCCTCGTTGCTAAATGTAATTTTAATTATTAATTACACATATTCTCATAGATAAGCTTCAGTGAGAGGATCAATCGCTCGATGAAGGGACGTTCAAGTGGTAAAGTTTATTAGTGTAATCCGCCTTCTAGCATTCTCACCTGAGCAATTTATCAAGAAAATACGGTAATATAATAGTAGAATACAGGGGATGGAATTAAGTGTCATGTGTAAGAAGACCTCTTACGATGCAGTAGTCTGTGTTTCATCTCTTAGCTGTAAACACAGACCGAACTGTGTATACGGGTAGGAGCGGGAATCACGAGTACAGCCTCCTACCCGCCATGTTCTGAACAGTTATGTAACTAATTTGCAAGACGAATAAGCGAAAGAAAGAGAAATAGTGAAAGAGGAAATAGGGTGAGAGAGGAGAGAAAGAAGAGGAGTTAACTCCAATCATTCTATATAATTATGAGGAAATGCTTTTTATGAGAAAAGCATGCTGACTAGGCGTTTAATTCCTAAATCATCACGGAAGATAAATTTTTTGAATCACTAACAGCATACTGACCACCAATATCTCGATGTTACTGAGAAGCAGTCACTATCAGTCAATCAGTATCAAAATTTAATCTCAGTTTACTAACATTTGCCTAAAAGCCTGGCATAGCTACGCTCTTGTGCTGGAGCATTCCAACAGCACCACAAAAATGAGATACCAACACTGACTGTCCAAGGGAACCTGGTATTCTTGGCTTAAGGAAGTAACTTCGGATGCAATTCCAAGGGTTTTCGGCAACAACAGTTTAAATTCGATTAATATGACTGGCTTTTTTTCCAGCCATAGATTTGAATCTGTGCACTCTGTGAGAATTCTAACCAGAAATACATCGCCTTCGCTACACTATTGTGTCTCTGGTGACCAATTTTGAGGTAAAAATTGAAACTAACTTGGCCATATCAAGCTGCTTTTCGAGGCTATCAGCCCAATGCAACCATACCGAATTCCCGTACATTAGACTTTCATGAAGCTGAGATGCTGTCGAAAATGATTTATTCGATTCTTCTACGCTGAAAAAGCTACGCTATTATATTTCTTACAAAATTCACAGAACACATTCAAAATGTGGACAGTCTGAGACCTTCAGCACGGCTGTCGGTTACGCCATAAAACAGAAAATCCCGAATATGAATTAGCGGGGTTTAAAGCAGCCGTTTCAATATTTAATCAATAAGTAAATATGTTCAAAGTTGTCGAGATTGCCCGTGTGGAGC